AAGGAATAAACCGTAACTTTTAGGAACTAAGTATTAAGTTAAGGTCTATACCGACTATAAGAACCTAGCATATTTTATAATATCTAAAGAACTTAATAAGCAATAAATACGATAGTTAGAATTCCTATTAGAATTTAACTTTAAAATTATCTATTATAAAGGATTAGAAAACGGTAGAGCTAATACTCTTAGCTAACAACCGGACCTTATAGTCCCGGTCTTAGAAGAAACTTAGGTTATCTTTAAAAAATACGACGGAAGACTTATGCTAGCATAGAAACTCTTAATAATTAGCGAAAAAGTCAGGATTAGTATAACTAGAAGAATAACTTACGACTAGATTATAGAAATCTATACTATACCTATATATAGCTACTAAGGTATTACTAAAACCTAGAAGAGAATTAGATAATATTATGATAAATAAGTTACTTATAAGGATATAGCTAAAGTAATTAAGGATTATAAAGTCTATACTAAAAGCAAGCCTAATAGATATAAACTATATAAAGAATTATAGCTACTACCGATACCTCCTATACTATAGTACTTAATTTTACTAGACTTTATAGTTAAGCTACTATTATTAAAAGAACTACTTACTAAGGTAAAATACGATAGCATACTAGTTATAGTAGATCGACTTACTAAATACGCTTATTTCGTACCCTACTTAGAATTAAGCATAGCCGAAGATTTAGTATATACCTTCCTTAGAATTATCGTTAGCTAATACGGACTATTATAGGAAATCGTATCTAATAGAGGATCTATCTTTATATCTAAGTTTTAAAGATCCCTAATCTTGCAACTAAGAGTAAAGTATAAACTTAGTACTGCTTTCTATCCGTAGACCGATAGACAAATAGAAAGAATTAATCAGATTCTAGAAATATATCTTAGATGCTATATTAATAAACAAGATAATTAGTTAAGTTACTACCTATAGCATAATTCGTATATAACAGCGCGGTAGGAGAAAATACTTAGGAATTACCGTTCTTTCTTAACTATAGATTTAACCTTACTATATATAGTGAACCTTAATAAGGTTTAGCAGCGATAAAAGCTATTATAAATATTAAGAAACTTAAGAAAATCTAAGAAAACCTACTAAAAGACTTAGAATTCGTATAATAACGAATAAAAAATACGTAGACCGTTTAAGGATAAAGGGACTATCCTTTAAGGAAGGAGATAGCGCCTACCTCCTTAGACGTAATATCAAAACGAAACAACCTAGTAATAAACTCGACTTTAAAAAACTAAGACCTTTCGAAATTACGAAGAAAATTTCTAAAGTTAACTATAAGTAAAACTATTAGAAATAAAAAATTTACCTAGTCTTTTACGTCTTATTATTAGAACTAGTACTAGACGGTATATATACCGAAGACTATATTATTATAGAAATAAATAATACCGAATACGAAGTAGAACGTATTCTAACTACCGAGGAATAATAAATAATAGAATACTTTATTAAGTAGAAAAACTATAGATACGAAGACGATTCGTAGGAACTAGCTAAGAACCTAGAATACGCTTAGGAAGAACTCTAACAATACTAATACTAGAGGACGTCTCTAAACCCTAGTCGTCTAAACCGACGCTAGACTAATCTACGACGCTAATAATACCTAAGGAATAAAGTATACCTATAGTTTCTAAGCTAGTATTTTATAAACTAAGAACCTTGGAACGATACTTATTCTTAACCTCCTCTATACGCTGCAAACTAGATCGAATAAGATTAGTCGCCTTACGATTAATATCCTTGCGACGCCTTCGTAAACGACGAATCTTCGCTATAAAAGCTAACTACTCTTCTTTAGCTTTCTTAAGCTTATTATTAATTTTTATTTTCTATTACTAAACCTAAATAAGGGAAGCCGCGGAAGGATTATAAATATCGTAAGAATACTTATTAGCAACGTAACGCGAACAACGAGAAGAATTAACTTCGGAAACGATATAGTCGACACCGGCAGCCGCGCAACCGGAACAAGGGATAGGCAAAATAAACCCGAACAAATCGACAAGCTAGCTAAGTTCCTTATAAGCTATAAGGTTCTTTAATTTAGATTTTTAAACGCAACCTAACATAATATTAGCATTATAAATAAACAAGGAAGTACGATTAACGACTTTCTAACCTAAGAGCTACGACCTACTTATGTTAGCCTTAAAGATAAGACTATCGAGGGGAGACTTAATATTACAACCCGTCAGATATACTTAACAGACCTACTAGGTCGGGCGGCTACGACAGGACATATATACGTAGGATCACGGGAACAAGGGTAAACCTCTCGGCAAGGAAGAACTATATTATAAGTCACGTAACAATCGACTAATCAGGATAGAGTCGATAGAGTCGACAAGCGACTCTATAGACTCTTGTAAAGGACTAATTAGAAGAGAGTCGATAGAGTCGACGAGCGACTCTATAGACTCTCTAAGACATTAGGAAACGGGACTTGTATATAGACCAGGACTTGAGCATCTGCTTAAGCCTTCTAGATAGTTCTTTAGCAATCAACTTATGATTTATCCTCGATGACTTTCAGCTTAGCTTACAGTTTGTGATATTACTATACCTTGTTACCTAGTATAAGACTGATTACCTTACCTTAACCCTCGATCTACTAGTACGACATACCTATATATAACGCAAGACTTATTATTAGTATCGTAGCCTTAACTTCTGTTAGTAGAAACCCTACTATTACTAGCTAGCCGTAATACGCCCCCCCCCCCCCCCCCCCCTAGTATACCGATTCCTAATTATTTCCGAATTAGTTTAGAAATCCGATATTATGCCTTTATATAAGTTTTATAAGTATAATAGAATCGGTTTAGGATCGATTTAAAACTGATTTAGAATTAAGACGATTATAAGACTTATAAAGAAGGTTTCTCTAAGGTAGTAAGAACTACCGTATAGAGGATCTTCCTCCCTTCGAGTTTAATAAGGTAAGTAATTTAGAAGCGATTTTATAAACGATTTAAAATAGTTCTAAATCGATTTAGGCTAGCAAAGTCAAGCTTACCTTTAGCAAACTTTATTACTATTAAGGTAATAGATCTAGTATATTACGTATACTAGGTAATTTAGAATTAGTTCTAGATTAGTTTAAAACTAATTTCGAATTAATTAGATAAAGCAGTTCTTAAGTAAGTTAAACCTTAAAAACTATATTAAGAAGTATAAGCTTAATAAGGTTTTAGCTAAGGTTAAAAGCTATAAGTCTAGTATAAACTTTATTAAAAAGAATAATAATATACTAGTAAGTAATTCTAAACTAATTCTATACTAATTCTAAACTAGTTTTAAACTAATTATAAATAGAATTCTATGATTATATCTATAGTATTATTATTAACGCTTATAATAATAGTAAGCTATAAACTCTTTCTAAGAAACGGAAAGTATAAACCTTTCCCCCCTTTCTTATGCTTATACGTAGTAAGTAAACTAAACTATAGTAAGTAATTCTTAATCGATTTAGATTCTTTTAAAACTTATTCTAAATCGATTTTATAATAGATTAATTTTACTAAAATACGTCGCGCTGCCGGCTTCCTTATTAAAAGTAAATATACCTACTATACTACTATTTATAATACTAATAAGTTTAAAATTAGTCTTAAAATAGTTTAGAATTAATTATAAATCGATTTAGAATATCTTCTTACCTTCGTAATTAGGAATATAAGGTTTAAGCCTACTTTAAGGATAATAAAAGATAAAGCCTAAATTAATTTAAGATCGGTTTAGAACTAGTTTAAGACTTTTTTCGAAACCGATTTAGAACCGTTTTAGAATTAATTCTTTATAAATACCTAAGGTATTTAGTTTTTAAGCTTTTTTTTAAAAAAAGCATTTCTAAATCAATATAGAAATAATTTAGAATCGATTCTCTACCTATCCTATATGCTATCAAAGTCCTAACCTTCTCCGCCGCTTGCTAACTTAGTTCCTTTTCTTGTAGTTTAAGCTTCTGTTTTTCAACTAGAAGTTTTCTTACTTCTAATTCTAATCGCTTTTCTTCTAATTCTAGACTTTGCTTCTATAAGTCAAAGTTATCTTATTATCCCTGTCTGATTTCGTTTCTTAAGTTAGAAATAGATGTTCTTTGGAGAGTATTTGACCTAATAACCCCAGAAGATGAAGCATGGGAAAGACGAGGGGATCGATTCCGAATCGCTTCTAAAAGACTTCGGGATCGATTCGGAATTGAGGATGGACTTCTTGAATTAGTACCCCTTGAGGGACTAGACGTAAAGAGTCGGGTTGATAAAAGCCTTTCAACACGTTCATTATCTAGTTGCTCACGGGATTCCCTCTGGCGTTGGCGTTTAAGTTCTAAAATAATTTAGAAATAATTATTAATAAATATTAAAGTATTTTTAACTTACGTAAACGGCTTGCAGCTGTATTATAACGGCTAATAATAGAAACATCTTTCCAGGAAAGCCGGATTCCTAGTGTTGTAAACACTGTATCCTGCTCTAAAAGATGGCGATCGTATTCTGCACATCTAAGTACTTTTGAATTAGTTCTCAACGCATTCCAAACCAATTCCGAATCAATTCAGAAGGGATTCCAAACTTACTTCTGGATACATGTAAGTAATGGTAAATACCGATTACTCCAAGTATATGAGGCTTCATGTAAAACCTCAACAGTATTTGTATTAGGTATGAATTGACTCCAATCTGATAAGGGGATTTTAGAGCAGTTCTGATTAAGTCCAGCTGCAATTGTTTTTCGGGCTTTATGTTGAGCCCATGCTTTTATTTGAGGTTCAGCTAAGTAAATTAGTTCCTAAGTAATTCTAAAGCGATTCGGAAGCGATATAGAATTAATCCTTACTCTCAAATGCCTAACATAAAGCAAAGTAGTCTTCTAAGGAACGGCAGAATAGTAGGCTACGCATTTAATTCCATAGAGAGTCAAGGCTACGGTCTTCTATACAGTATGCCTCAATCCCTCGTTAGAAATAAATTAAACAGAAGCGTACAGAGCGTTCAACCTGCCATGCCCATGGTCTATGCTCTAGGTTACATTCTAGAGATAGATATTTCCTAAACCCTAGATAATTAGTTATAAATCGGTTCTAAATCGGTTTAGAAACTATTAAGAACCCATACCAATAAGGTTTTTATGGTCTTGATCAACTGTAATACCTAGTAGACCCCTACCATGAAGGTGTTTCCACTTGACTTTATATCCAAATTTCTTATAAAGTAGTTTAAACACAATTGTATACATCTGCTGATACATTTCTGTACTTTCAGAATTGGTAAAAACTCGGATAAGTGGAATTGCTAAAATAGTTAGGAATCTGTTAAGAATCCGTTCTAAATCGATTTAGAAGCGATTACGCACCTTTCGAAGATATCGAATTATACCATCCCCAAATAATCTTAACTTCCTCCTTTCTAGCTAGATGTTTATAGTTTATATCTACTTAGAAAGTATTAAAAGCCTTTTTCTTTTATAATTTAGCTTGCTTTATATAAAATATAATATATAGGTATATATTACCGTTATTATTAAAGTACTAAATATATTATAAGTAAATTAGTATTAAACCCGCTTAGAACCGATTTAGAATTACTTTATATCCGAATTTAACGCTTAGTTTAAACATACTAGTATTTATACTAAATCGCTAGACGTAAATAGCCTACTAGAAAGCTAATTACTTTTTATTTATAGATAATTAAGTATAAGAAGTTTATATTTACTAGACTTTGATAAATGCTTATAATAGTCTAGCTATTATAAGTATTATAAAATTCCTAAAGTTTGTAAGATTATAAGAATATTTAGAATTAATACTAGATTAGTTCTAAATCGGTTTAGAAACGATTTTAAAAAGATTTTTTACTTAACCTTATTCTAAGCTAATTAATCTTCTAGACTACTTATTATAGCCTAGATATAATACTAGCTAAGGCTTTAACTAGTAATAATATATAAATAGACTTTATAAGAAGTTAGAAGAATAACTAAGGTAGCTTTTAAATTAAGTAAGACTTAAAAGTTTTATTTTACTAAATACGTAATTTAAAGAATTATTTTAAAAACGATATAATAGCGTCTAGATTAATTTAGAATTAGTTAGGAACCTATTTAAATCGATTCAATACTAATTTACTTACTATATCGTATAATTCTCTTTTTATTACTAGTAAAAAGATAATAGCTATTAGTAAGGAAGCTTTCTTCTATACTTCCCCCTTAAAGTATAGTTTTAATTAGAAGTAAATATAGCTAGTGTTGAATAGGCTCTCTGTACGATCGTACTGTCATAAATGTAGGGTGAACCAAAGATTCTATTTTCCGTGATTACCTTTCCTAACTAGATGTTGCCTTCCGTACGAACAGATATATCTCTGTCCATACCTAGACACGAGTCGTGCATGACAGGTAATAAACCATGATCCCTTCCTCAGACATTTAGGTGTTACAGGTGCTAGTCATGCTACCTATACACCCCTTTGCCTGTGACAGCCTTGTCGTACGGTCATGTGATTATCGTTATTCCAACACTCACAACTTTTCTTTTTATGACCGTACGTGCCTATCCTTTGTCCAATTAGGTTGCGCTATTCCAGTTCGTAATAGCTTTACTTGATTAATATGTGTCGTAAGGGTGAATGTAGGAAGTCGTCTCGTACGCCTTCCTCTCTTGTCGGTTGAGTAAGTCGCGTGTCCTACATGCCTTCCTCTATTGCTTCACCTCACTTTTTCTTGTTTTTTTTTTTCCTGCCTACTTAGGCAGAACTTTCCGTATTGAAATGATAAAAACGCGTCTTTTCTTCTTTTCCTCTTACTTACCTTTTCTCCTCTTCGTACACCACTTCTTCTCTCTTCTCTTCGTACGTTGAACAATCATTCTCATTCAACGCTTTTTTTTTTTTTTTTCCTTTTATGTTTTCTAACCATGGTCTAGAACGATGAACGTAATGCTCTTGCCCTGCCGTCGCACGACATTGAAGTGCGTATGACTGGCAACATGAGCGTTCAAGAGTTCGTCGCCTCTATCATACGACGCTCTAGTTACTTCATCGCGATCATCATTCAGTCTCGAGGTCGTACGATGCCTGCTTGCGCCAGCAAGTGTGCGACCTCTGGCTCTCCTCGATTCCGGGAGTGTGTTCGTCTCAGGACCCTCTCTGATGGCTCGTGTGCGGAATGCGTCTAGCAGTCGCACGGCGCTCGTTGCTCTCACCGTGGTCAGGAGGATGGTTCGTCCGATTCGTCTGGTGGTAGCAACCATTCCGACAACGATGATGATAATGAGTCTCCCCGTCGCTCTAACTATCGGAAGCCGTACGCCCGTAGCGCTCGCCAGCCCGACCGTACGCCTGGTCGCAAGCTTGGTCGTAGTGTCGGCACCTCTGGCAGCTTCCTTGGCTCTTCTCACAACCCGCAGCTGATTGAGAAGGATTAATTAGGGGATTGGTTCATTCGTACGGTGGTTATCTATGATCTCAAGGGTCCGGCTCTCATAGACTAACATCTGGTGGTGGATCTTGGTATTAGGGTTTTCGTACGATAGTAAAATCGCACGAGTTGATTGTCATTCGTCTTTTCCCCCAAGTCTATCCACGTACGCTTCGATTCTTATCCTGAGCTTGCTTGTCGTAATTAACTGCTCGAGCGCTGAATTTAGTGACTTCTTTGTGAAAGCATCTGCTGGATTGTCTTTGCCATCGATCCATCTCACTTCTAAGATTTCTTTCTTCTCGTACGACTCCCTCAGGCTCATGATATCGATCATAAGTCTTTTCTCATCAGTAGTTCCTAGTCGTACGAGGCATTCATACAGAGATCTTGAGTCTGTACAAATCACGACTGGAATTCCTGGGAGGTTGAGCGTACGAAGAATCCGGTTCAAGGTACTGCTTAACGATATGCCACTGTCAAAGCCTGTAGTCATTCCGTATAGTTCGCTAGCTAGTACGCTTCGAGTCACTCGTTTGCATTTCGTTGAGCTCCAGTGGATAATATTTCCATTAATCTCAAAGTCTGTCGTCGTACGAGCTGTTTCCTCTGCAAGTACGATAACAAATCCAAGCTGTGATAAAAGGTCTATATTATTTGCAAATAATCCGTCTATAAAGATATACATCTTTGTTCGTACGAAGTCGAGTGGAATATATTTAAGACCTCGATCAGGGTTGTCTATTTGCCATTGAAGTCGTACGTTCAGAGCTTCAATGTCCTCTTTACTTGGTTCTTTGATCTGAGCTGCGACTGCTAAATCGTACGATGCCTCTGGCTGGCATATTGAAGCAAGGTATGCGCCCCTTGCCCGCTGCGAAACGTACTATTGTCGTGCATCAAGTGCATCTATCTCTATAGTATTGAGCTGCTTAACTTGTCCTTTCTGTAAGAAAGTAAAGTAGTCTTCGTACGACTGAATCCTGCCGCCATTGAAATCTACTTCTTGGTTATGTAATAGGATTGTTTTCGGCTTCGCACGAAGGCCCTTCTTCTCCAATTGTTCCTCTTCCCGTACGGAGAAACTTGCTGTTGCGAAACTCATTGTATCGTCTGTTTGCATTGCCGTGATACCAAAGTCGTCTGCTCCTGTCGTAGTATAAAGGAGGCATAGGTCGTACGTTAACTCTATCATTCCAAGGTCCTCCTTGTGGTGTGTAGCGTACGTCTTATACTAGTAAAGACCTGATTCTGCTAATCCGTAGAGCGGCTTCACGATATGTAGGAGTGTTCTTTCTGGGTATTTACCCTCGAGTTCCCTGGGAAGTCGTGCGATAATTGTTCTTTTTAATGGATCGTCCGATTGGGTATATGCCTGCGTAATATCCCTGAGTTCTCCTTGACACTTGAAGTCTCGTACGAGGGTAGGTCCAAGGGCGAGGAGTAGTCTCTGACTCATCCTCTGGATCGTTAGTGCCTGTATAAGGATTTCCTCCTTTTCCTAGTCACTATATCCTTGGATTACTAGTCTTGACTTTTCGTACGGCTTCGTGGTTTTGTTTTTGATTTCTCTAACCATTCGTGTACGAAAGATCCGTATGTTGGAGTATTTGTCTAGGTCGTACCGAATAAAGGTAAAGACTCCCTGGTTGATTAACGCGTCGATCTCAATCCTATCCGACTCTTCGTACGGTAATCCTGGTGTTGTGATTATGTTGTCAAGTCGGAGTTTTACTGCTAACTCGTAGTTGTCTTTCTCTTTCTAAGTAAGAAAATGTCTTGGGGATTGTCGTACGGCCCTTCTTTGACCCTTCTTTGGCCGTCCTCTTTTCCTTGGTTGTGGTTAAGGGATTTGCCGTGCGACGTCTGGTTCAGACTCTTCCCGGGGTTGTGTATCGTCCCTATAGTATGGTTTGACGTGTGTCGCCCGAAACTGTGTAGGTCCGTTTATCATGTTCACAGTTACATTATGTCCCTCAATCCCCTGTACTTCGTACGGTCCGGTCCATCCCTTGTTTTCTCTCTATACCATGACTTCGCTCTGGATAGGGAGGGATAAGACTTGTTGAATATTAGGACCGTTCCTTGTATTGATCGCACGGTTGATCTCAACCTCTGCGCGGATGCCTTGAAGTAACTTCCTTGCCTTCTAGGCGGCTTCTGCCCGTTGTACGATTTCTAGTGATGGTGGTAAATCCTTGTTAATACGTAGATAAGTACCGAATACCAGAAGTGTTGGTACGATTCCGTACGGTCCAGCTGTATCGTTTAACGCTTTGATAGCCATCTGTAGGATTGTCTCATCGTCTGTATTATGACTGAGTTCGGTATGAAGGATATCGTACGCTTGCCTTAAGGGAGCGTGAGCTCTCTCGACTTTGCCGACTGCCCAGTGTGCTTCTACTGGCATCTCATCGCACGTAATACCCATAATTTCGGCATGTTTGCGGAATTCAGTAGATGCGAAGTTTGTCCCCGGATCGTGTACGATATGGTCTGGTGGACCGACATAGGTGTTAATCCAACATTTAGTTAACGCATTCCATGTGTCTCGTGCGGAAAGGGATTTTAGGAATGTTGCTCCTTGAAAGCTTGTTTCCGTATCGATCACATGTAAGGCATTTTTGTCCTTCAGTCGTACGACATCTACCACGATTTCGTAATTGAAATAGCTCTCGTCCTTAAGGGAGAACTTAAATCTCCTTGGAGCTGGATCGTGCGACTGGCAGTTGTGACAGAACTTCTAGACCTTTTCTAAAATCGACTAGCTAATATCGTCGTGTCCAGCGTTTTTCAGAAGTTGGTATAGTCGTTCCGTACGAGGATGT